GGGGGGGCGGGGGGCTGGGCCTGTGGGCAGGGGAGTGGGGTGTCTGGCTGCAATCCAGTGTCTGATCTGTGGGTGCTGATCGCCTCTATTGTTTCCAGGCGCAGGGCACCCCATGAAGCCTCATCGCCTGGCACTGACCCACAGTCTGGTGCTTCACTATGGGCTCTACAAGAAGATGATTGTAAGCATTGCTTGTCAGGTATTGGGGTTGGTGTCCTGGAAAGCCCTCCACATGGTTCAAATGTAACTATGTTAAAACGCCTGATCTGTGGGTGCTGATCGCCTCTATTGTTTCCAGGCGCAGGGCACCCCATGAAGCCTCATCGCCTGGCACTGACCCACAGTCTGGTGCTTCACTATGGGCTCTACAAGAAGATGATTGTAAGCATTGCTTGTCAGGTATTGGGGTTGGTGTCCTGGAAAGCCCTCCACATGGTTCAAATGTAACTATGTTAAAACGCGGCTATGAAATATGCTCGTCCCCATTTTATAATATGTCTTATTCTTGCTGACGAAAGTCATTTCGCCATATTAGGCTAGAACAGTGGTCCCCAACCTTTTGGGGCTGCCAGGTGCCCGGGGGCAGGGCTACTCACGCGCTGGGCACCTGGCAGCAGGGTCACACACGCACCCAGGGGCGGAGCTGTGCACGTGCCTGGTGCTGGTGCCACCCATGCGCTGCACTCCCGGGGCCGGCGCCGCTCCCGTGCTGCACGCCCAGAGGCCGGCACCGCCCTTGTGCCATGCACCTGGGGGCAGGGCTGCCCAAACTCTCCGCACCTGGGGCCGGCGCTGCTCATGTGCCGCATGCCCACGCATGGGGCCGCCCAAACACCGTGTGCCCGGGGCCGGCACAGCCCTTGCACCGCACACCCGGGGGCAGGGCCACCCAAACACTGTGCACCTGGGGACGGGGTCGCTCATGTGCTGCGCGCCCGGGGCCGACGCTGCCCATACGCCGTGTGCCCAGGGGGCTGGCACCGCCCATGCACCCGGGGGTGGGGGCGGGGCTGGTCCCATTCACTCGGCGGCTGCACAGAAATTGCCCGGCAAGCGCCATGGCGCCCGTGGGCACCGCGCTGGGGACCACTGGCATGACTCTCTATTTGCTGGGGATGCTTTAAGTCAGTGGTTCTCAACTTTTCCAGAATTCTGTGTTCTTTTTAGGAGTTTGGTTTCTTGTCTGTATTTCAAGTTTCACTTCACTTAAAAATACATGCTTATAAAACGAGGTATAAAAATGCAAAAGTGTCACAGTGCACTATTACTGCAACATTTCTGACTTTCTCATTTTTGCCAAATAATTGCAAAATATATTGATTGAAATGTTTCTGCGATATTCCAGTGTGGTAGTTGAGCCTCTTTTTCACTTGTGAGCCTTATTCTTTTGGTTGACAGTGAAGTGACAGCAAGTTAGAGGTTTTTCTCCACATTGTGTCTCGGTGGCAGTCATAGCAGAAAATGAGACTGTTCAAAGATATGCCGACCTGAAAGATAACAGACCTCCCAAAGCATGATTCCCACAGTTAATGTACTCTTTTTCTGCATTGAACACCAGAACTAGGTTAGTGTAGAATCATTATATTTGCAGACTATGGCCTGAGGGAAAACTGAAGAATATAATCTTGCTGTCCAGCAGAGAGGTTACTGCTGCTAACATTTGGCAAGATGAACAAGGTTTCTTACCCAGTTGCGTTGAGCTGAGTTGTGCTGAATGTTGGAGAAATCATTTTGCTCAGCTCAGTTTCCCCTATTTAGGCCTCCGTGATATATTAATAAAACACTGAAAAACAGGTAAAGTCTTTGACTTGACATTTGGACTTCCAGAATTTAGTTTTCTTGATAAAAGCATTCACTTTATCGTAAAGATTCAGATTGTTGGTGTCATGGCCTTTCATGGACAAATTGTAATCATTCAGCTTGCTAGATATGTCTGCAAGGTAGGCAAGTTGTACTAACCACAGGATGTTGTCAAACACAGAAACAAACAGGGATGAATGATCAGAGAAAAACTTATTAAATGGGTATAATTCAAAGCATCCATCAAGTACTTTGTCTTTTGAAAGCCAGTGAACCTCAGTGTGAAGCAACAATTCCTTATGATCTGACCCCTTCTCTTGACAAAGAATGCAAAACAGCTGAGCATGGAATGGCATGGATTTGATAAAATTGACAGTTCTGACATACTCGTTTAAAACTTGATGCAGTTCAGAACTTTTTTATGAAACAAGATCTCTGTGTGTTTGATGCACTGTATCGTCTGCAAGGAAGAATTTTCTCTCCTAGTCATTGTCTTGGCTCCGTCAGTGCAGACAAATTTGCATACATTCCAACTCAAATCCTGTACAGGCAGTCCCCGGGTTACGTACAAGATAGGGACTATAGGTTTGTTCTTAAGTTGAATTTGTATGTAAGTCGGAACTGGCTCCAGATTCAGCCGCTGCTCCTGAAACTGACCAGGGGCTGACTACAGGAAGCTGGAGGCACCCCGCCGCCGCTGCCGCTTTGCTCCCCGTGTCCCTGGTCTGCTGGAGATGGTCCCCAGCAGACCAGGGGCACCCGGAGCAGCTTTTCTCGCCCCAGAGGTCGAGGTGGTGGGACCGCTGCGCTCTGGGCGGTCCCGTTGCCTGCGAGCTCCGGGGCGAGAGAGCCCCGTTCGTAAGTGCGGATCCGACGTAAGTCAGATCTGCGTAACTCGGGGACTGCCTGTATTTTAACAAACTGACTTTTATTATAAAAAGATCCTTTTCAGTAGTGTTTGCCTTTATACTTTTTCAAAATGTTACATGCTCATTGATATCCATAGTTTCAGAGTAGCAAATGTAAGCACTTAGCAGAGCTTCTCCACTATTATCCGTGAACTCATCAAGCTGAAGGGCAAATGTTTTTGCCATTTTAAGTTTCTCTACGAATTGAGAAACAATATCCTCAATGATTTCTTCTATTCTGTGATAGTGTCATCTGAGAAGGGTACTTTCTTGAGAGTATTGGCTGGTTTTTTTTTTTTTTTTTTTTTAATCAAGCATGTGTTCTGCAAGCACCACGGTGGCAGGCAGAATAAGATCTTTGATTTTGCTGCCAGGAAGGAGACAGCATATGAAGCTTTGAGTGCTTTTGTAGAAAAAGTTGAAGCTTTCATTTTAAGCTGGGAAGTCTAGAACTCCACTCTTTCTGAAAAAAACCTCCTATCGGCTTACCCGCATGTACAAGGTGTTTTTTGTTATCAAATGTCATTACAAATGTGCTGGCTCCATACTTTTATTTGATAATTTCTCCACAAAGGAAACACAAAGCTTGAGGTGGATTGCTATTTGTAGATGTGACTCCAAAAACAATATATTCCTCCCAGAACTGATGGGATTTTTTTAGTCCTATTCACTTTCTTACAGCGTTTACTGTCACTGCTGCTTACAGCTCATTTAAAAATCTGAATTTTTATATTGTGCCATGACAACTTCAACTTCATTAATGTGCTTACATGCATCAGCAAATGACATAAAATGCATGTCTAGTACCATGAGTGTATGTGCATTATGTTACCGTATAATATAATATATAGAACAGTATAAATAAGTAATTGTATGAAATTGTAGTTTGTACTGACTTCACTGGTGCTTTTTATGTAGCCAGTTGTAAATGTAGGCAAATGCCTAGATGAGTTGATGTACCCACTGGAAGACTTCTGTGTAGTCCAAGTATCTAGCTTCTCTTTAAACTCTGTTATAGTCCTAGCCTTCAAAGCCTCCTCTGGCAACGAGTTCCACAGGTTGACTACATGCTGTGTGAAGAAGAACTTTCTTTTATTAGTTTTAAACCTGCTACCCATTAACTTCATTTGGTGTCCTCTAGTTCTTATATTATGGGAACTAATAAATAACTTTTCTTTATTCACCCTCTCCACACCACTCATGATTTTATAGACCTCTATCATATCCCCCCCTCAGTCTCCTCTTTTCTAAACTGAAAAGTCCCAGTTGCTTTAACCTTTCTTCATATGGGACCCATTCCAAACCCCTAATCATTTTAGTTGCCCTTTTCTGAACCCTTTCCAAGGCCAAAATATCTTTTTTGAGGTGAGGAGACCACATCTGTACACAGTATTCAAGATGTGGGCGTACCATAGTTTTATACAGGGGCAGTAAGATATTCTGGGTCTTATTTTCTATCCCTTTCCTAATAATTCCTAGCATCCTATTTGCCTTTTTGACTGCCGCTGCACACTGTGTGGAAGTTTTCAGAGAACTGTCCACGATAACTCCAAGATCTTTCCTGATTTGTCGTAGCCAAATTAGCCCCCATCATACTGTACGTATAGTTGGGGTTATTTTTCCCGATGTGCATTACTTTACACTTATCCACATTAAATTTCATTTGCCATTTTGTTGCCCAATCACTCAGTTTGGTGAGATCTTTTTGAAGTTCTTCACAGTCTGTGTCTGTCTTGAGTATCTTAAACAGTTCAGTATCATCCGCAAACTTTACCACCTCGCTGCTTACCCCTTTCTCCAGATCATTTATGAATAAGTTGAACAGGATTGGTCCCAGGACTGACCGTTGGGGGACACCACTAGTTACCCCTCTCCATTCTGAAAATTTACCATTTATTCCTGCCCTTTGTTTCCTGTCTTTTAACCAGTTCTCAATCCAAGAAAGGACCTTCCCTCTTATCCCATGAGAATGTAATTTACACAAGAGCCTTTGGTGAGGGACCTTGTCAAAGGCTTTCTGAAAATCTAAGTATACTATATCTACGGGATCCCCCTTGTCTGCATGTTTGTTAACCCCTTTAAAGAACTCTAATAGATTAGTAAGACGTGATTTCCCTTTACAGAAACCATATTGACTTTTGTCCAACAAATTATGTTCTTCTACGTGCCTGACAATTTTATTCTTTACTATTGTTTTGACTAGTTTGCCCGGTACTGAAGTTAGACTTACCTGTCTGTAATTGCCAGGATCGCCTCTAGAGCCCTTTTTAAATATTGGTGTCCCATTAGCTACCTTCCCGTCATTAGGTATGGAAGCTGATTTAAAGGATAGGTTACAAACCACAGATAATAGTTCAGCAGTTTCCCATTTGAGTTCTTTTAGAACCCTTGGATGAATGCCATCCGGTCCTGGTAATTCGTTAACATTAAGTTAATCTATTTGTTCCAAAACCTCCTCTAATGACACTTCAATCCAGGACAGTTCCTCAGATTCATCACCCACAAAGGACGGTGCAGATTTGGTAATCTCCCTAATGTCCTCAGCCATGAAGACTGAAGCAAAGAAATCATTTAGTTTCTCCGCAATGGCTTTATTGTCCTAGATTGCTCCTTTTATATCTTGATCGTCTAGAGGACCCACTGGTTTTTGAACAGGCTTCCTGCTTCTAATGT